AGAGGAAAGGGGGAAAACAGGTAAAAGGGTTAACATATATATAAATATATATATATATATAAATATATATATATATATATATATATGTAAATATATATTTATATATATGAATTAAAACACAATTTTACCCGCGCGCGAAGACGCGACAAAATGGATATCCTCCCTAAGCAAAATTGACGTTCCGGACGCGGTGGCGCAGTCCGTTTCGTCATCAGAGGTCGTTTCGACGAATTCATCGATTTGCGCGCCAATTTTCTCGTGTCGAAAATATGGCAATATGGGCGTCTTCCGTGGGCAAAATCGACGTTCCGGACGTGCCGGCGCAGTCCGTTTCGTCATCCGGGGTCGCTCGGACGACGTCGTCGACAGTCAGGTCAAAACGCGTCGAAATTCAAATTTCACAAAATCTCGACCCGCGATCGATCGTCACAAGTGGTTTACTCGAGTCCTCGGCAAATAACGGTGCAGGCGATGCGAATTGCAGCAATCGGACGCGTCGACTCTCTGAATTGCAAAGCTGGTGCGCGCAGAAGTGCGAATTGTGCAGAAGGCCAACCTAAGGCTCGGAAAGGTCTTATAGGAATCCATTTTGGGTTTCCTCATGTCGGTTTCATCCTTCTAAGTGTTAGAAGTTGATACCAAACACGCGAAACTCCAAAAGAGGACAGAAACAGGTCGAACTAAAACGAGGCGGGCACCACTTCTAAGGTTCTAAGATAGTCGCAGGAAGACCCCTGAGGCTAGATCCTAACTCCTACGAGAAAAACTAGACCTCACGAAAATTGAGGTCAACAATCGTCATTATCGCCACCACTATAGTTTTCGTCAGGCCATTTCCCTAAGTATTATGTCACTCCACTAACGAAAGTCATGTCACTTATATAATCTTGATCCTGGCCAGTTAAGGGTAAGCAGTCTTGTAACTTATAACAACATAGTAAAATTATTTCAATCAGAAAAGGCTCTTGATTTTTTTCCCTTATGGGTTTCCACCTGAAAATTTGTTATTTTCTGCTTGGTCAATTTTGTTTACCTGTGTGCGTGGAAATTTCGTGCAACACTAAGACATAAATACATCACTTTAACACTGCAAATTTACTAGCAAACGACAATCTTAAAATTTTTATTTTGCAAAACTCATCTTGCAAATTAGTAACTACTTTCTTGGAAATACTGATCCACACAGCATTTAGAAGCTAATAGCGATTTCAAACATATAAGTCTTGTTTTTTTTAAAATTTTATAATACTTCCAAGGACTTGATATATAAAACAAACTAACTTTAACTTTCGAAACTACATCTTCATTGATGCGGGGGCTAAATTGGCGCCCGGTTACAGGCGCTAAGACAACGCTTGGTCTGGGGCACTAAATAACGATGGAGAAGCTGCGCGAAGATAGAAAGAAACGTGAAGCAAGAGCAGTATCGCGAACTATCGGGATCTGAGAATGAGGCTATCGCACCGAGGAAGTGTTTCTGGATTCTTCTTGCCTTCCTTTTGTCTGGGACTTTTCCTTTTTATTTCTTTCCTATTTTCTCCATTAAGAGTCTATAAATTATTTTTTTTTGTATAAGAGTCAGTTTTTGGCAGAGTTTATTTTCATATTCCTGTGCGGAGTCATTTTTCCCTTTGTCGGTTGTATTTGAGGAAGTGGTGATGCTCCGGTTATATCCGCTCTGAGATGGTGATTGTATCCTTCCTTTTTACTTTCCCCAAACCTTCTCATCCCCACTTCCAACCACCGTCCTCCCCACCTCTGTCACTCGAACAGCCGGCCAACCCCCTTTCCTCCAGTTTTACTATTGTCCGGCCATCCTCCCTCCTTCCAAGCACTCCTAACCGATTGTTCCTCACCCCACTACCACTGCCCTTATTGTCCAGCACCTTCCAAGCCCCCTCCGCCTTCATCCAGTCACCTATGACCATACTTGTTGTCTTCGGGATTCTACACCTTCCCCTCACTGCCATCGGAATTCTTTTGCTGCCACCACCTCCGCTAGCCATCCCGACCCACCTAGCCGACCTCTACCACCCCTGGAATACACTTAAGAGGTGTTTGCTTGTGTCTTTTTATGTTTTAGTGTTGTTATTTTCCGTTTGTATCATGTTGTAAACCTATTTTAATATTAATGAAAATTTTTTTTTGTGTTTCTCCTGTTTCCCCACTAGTTCCAGTATCATTCATTCTTCTACATTTTATAATAGCTCTTCAAATAACTAAAAAAAAAAAAAAAAAAAATTGCAAATGCAGGAGGCAGGATTCATCTAGTTTAAGAGGTTCCATGAAATACAGCACGTCCGCTCATCATTATAAACATCAATACATCATTATTCGTCAATCTTAAACACTAGTTGATAAGTGAAAAGTGTCTCAATGCAAAGTAAAACATCCAGTATCATACATTACAATGAAGCATTAAACTCTTCTCGCTAAAATTTAGCCTTGCTGAGATGGAATAACAACGTTTGTTGTTTCAAAAGAGTGAAGATAGAATAGAGTCAATAAACTATATATCTGCAATCCTTAAAAAGACTAAAAATATGAATGAAATCAGAAGAATAAAAGAGATAACAATGACTAAAATGAAACTATGGAACAACAACAAAATCAACAGATTATGATGATTAAAGATCCAACAACTATGGAAAGATTTGTAGTTCCAGCCTAGCTAAATCAAAACATCAAGAAAACCTTAATTCTTCCTTGAATGGATGATGTCATGTCCTTCTCTATAATCCATTTTGCAAGCAAACATGCCAAATATGTAAAAGGAATTTCCTTCGCTCTAGTTAGAATAGTGAAGTTGTTAAATTCATTAATTGTGACATCCTCGTCCATTGCATAGCCATCCTGTACAGACTCAGCAACATCAGCGACAATGCAAGGTTCAACATTCAAGCTGCTGCCATAAGTAGGCCTTCCTGCTATGCTTTCCTTGGCATGGACAAATCCTTCATTGAAATTTCTACCAAATTCTTGAGAAATTGGGTTTTCCGTGCTATCTCTTCTTGTATTAGGATCAACATTTTTGTCAACGTATGGTCTCTCATTGACAGTAACTGATGTAGTTCTAGCATCTGCAATTTTTCAGAAGTATAAAGAAGGAAAAATGAAATGTCAAGGATGATAAAATTATACCTAAATGCTAAACTAAGAGTACAATGACAGGAAAATCTCCTGAATAATTTGAGTAAAGCATGCAAGCAAAAACTACACCTCAGCTTACTCTTCAAGTAAAAGGATCACCATAATCTAGAGCTTATATTCAGCTATTTAAATAGCTATTGAAAAAAATATGTCAGCAAATATTTTTGTTTTCAGTGACTCATACCAATGAAGACAGATCTGACAAAGGAGTTCACATTGATGGGAAGAATTGATCTTGGGAAAGGAACGAAACCATTCTTAGGTTGTGTAAGAAGCAATAACCATGGACTGTAAGTTGCCCAAAGAATATATTGATCTAGCAGAAATTGTTCGAGAGTTTTAACACATCCTTTTGGAGAATTAAACCGCAAGATATCCAGAGGAAAATATGTGGGGTTAATATAAATTGGCATTTTCATCTCTTCTTTTCAGGAGAATGATTTGGTTCCAAAGACAAAAATTGATGAATTCTAATGTTACTCTATAGTCCGGATTGATGGGAAGGGTTCATCTCGAACATGGAATAAATGAATGCTGAAGTTGAATGAAGCGAGACCTATGAAAACACAAGTAATGCATGGAAATATGCTGTTCAAAAATGAATAACTTTGGGTTTCCTTACCGGAGACTTGCACGAGCTTCAGTAACAGGCCCTGTCCAAAGCCCCAACTGAATAATTTTATAGAGAGCAAAAACAAAATAACATTATCATTTTGTTTTGTCTCGTATCTTTCAGTGATTTTTGCTCACAATATTTCATAGCAACATGGATTTTTTCCCATGCAATCCATCATATATGCATACTCATATTGCAATCATTAAGATGTTCATTTTGAAACCATCACACATCCTCATTTCAAATTTATAATTGAATCATTTCCTTAGGTTTTCCAAACCACATTGTCAGACTCCTTTTAGCCTCTTGAGTCAAAATAAAGAGGGAAGTGTGATTGAATGATAAAATGAAATGATTTTACTAGCATGCCACTTGAAAAAAGATGAATATCCCATCATACACTCGACTCTAGAAAATTACTGATATGCCAGCTAGAGGATAAAGAGGACAAAAGTATAACCAAAATCCAATAAAAAGGTCACTCCTTTTCTTTAAACATATTTTAATTAACATTCATCCATACCAACTGTTTAACCCATCATGGAATTAAATAAAACATTAAAAAATGATTGATAACATCAGCATCAATGCGGATCCATTCAGATAAGCACTAATACAAGGGGTACATGAGTGGTAGAGAAAAAAGAAAGTGAACTAGGGAAGTGGAGGGAGGGGATGAGGGGGACAGAAAGAGAGAGAAAAAGAGATGACATAGACAAAGAGGAAAATAGCAGGAAAGAATGAAAGGAGAAGAGAGTGAGACTTAGTATTATTTTTGTAAAAAACTGAGAATATCAAATAAAGCATCATAAGCAGACATAAAACTACTCAGGGCCCACATACATATAGAAATTAAGTAAGAGGAACAATATTTTATATTTCCAAAAGAAAAAGAAAGAAATTCACTCTTCTGGCATTTGAACAGAAACTGATTTATCACTGCCAAACAGCAGTCAATTTCTGAATCAATGGATCTCCTCTCTTAATTTAAATGGCTTGCGCATGGAAAATAGCTAAAAATTTTAGCAGATGAAGTCATTGTGCAGAAGGGCTCCTTACCTTGAATCAGGCGGGGGTTGCTTAGATTAAGTGGAATTGAAATATTTGCTGGTGAAACATTATTGTTGATGTGACCTTCAGAAGAATTTGGATCATTACTACTATGTGGAATTGAAATATTTGCTTGTGAAACGTTATTGTTGATGTAAGCTTCTGAAGTATTTGCATCATTGCTATTAACAGTATTAGAGGGCCATGCTGCAAGGGTCGCTCTTTGACACAATGGAAGTAAGGCTTGTTTCCTGTATTTGCGGCAATAAGTAAGAGACAAAAAAAGGAATAAATAACTACTCATATGCAAATAGTTCTCCTGGTAAACTTTCAAAAGGTTTAAATTTCCCAGGTTACAGAAAAAATAATCCATTTCGCATAAATCCAAGGGTTGCTAAAGAGTAAAAGCATAAATAGGAAACGAGAGATCCAACAAAATAACCAAACCATAATAGCATTTATGTTTACATGTTCGCAGAAAATTACAAGGCAAAAATTTGGACAAGATAGCATTCTTCAAAGTTGCGTGCATCAACTAACTGGCCAATAAGAGAAGGCTAATAAAATTAAGTGTGCATGGCTGAGAAAGCTAACGGAGTAATACAGCAACTGGTAAAGAGTAAAACGGGATGATAAAAAAATATATCTTCGTTGCCTAGTGCATGAAACCATATGAGTTTACCTGCGTAATGTAATGATAAATGGAAGGAAAAAAAATAGAAGAAGCAAAAATATGGCATCAGAATCAGCATGTGCTACCACAACTATGAAAAGCTTATACGTACCTTTTGCCTCTAGGTGGCTTGTTTACTTCATTAATAAGTCTCTGACGTGCGGCATCAAGATCCTCAACCAGCCCTCCAAGAACATCCACAACTTCGGGGACAAGTACAAAAAGACCCCGTCGAATTTGTACATTTTGTATGATAATCTATGGTGCCACAAGTTCAATAATACTTTACAAGCCCATTTAAAAGATGCAAAATTTAAACTGAATTACAAAACAAGAAAAGGAAGAATGGCAGGATAAGTGTAAGATAAAAACAGAAAAGGAGGTTCCTGACAGTATTATCTCGTATATAGTAAAAGCTGAAAGAGAAGGCGGAACTTTTCTTTCCAGTTCTCCTGCATACTTCTAAGAGTAATGCCTAACCTATTTATAGAAGCCTGAGAAACCCGCTGAGGTTGCTTTAAAATTCTTTAAAAAAAAACAGTTATAATATTGTAAATTAAACTCAACTCGCTATAAAATGGTGGAATTAACAAGGAGGCTCACATACATAGAAGACAAAACATTGGTTCCTCAACGAACTTCATTATTTACCTATTAAGCACTATGTTAATATCACATTCCGGGTCCGGAAGGCGGTGCAATCCGGCAACGCAGGGCATGATGAAATGAATTGAACCTGTTTTGCATTCTCAAAGAAAGATTTTTATGGAAAAATAAAAAATAGAAAGAAAATATTAATTTTATTCATACAGAACAATCCACTGATACAACTTAAAGGAAACAAAAACTAGTTGAATCAAAACAGAAATGATTATAAGAAAAGACTATCCGGACCCAAAAAGAAAAATACAATAGAAAAAGAAAATACTAAAAAAAATACTAAGACGAGAAAACTAAAACTGAAAAGTATGCGTTAGTTGACACGGTCTTACTGGTGGTTAAAAGTGTGGATTTGACAAATAAACTCGGTAAATAACAATTATCCATTAAAGCATGAATAGCAAGAGAAATGGGGCATGCAATAGAAATAACAAATAAGAATTATTACTACGTGCATATATAACATCATAAAAAACAAGAGAGTGATAAACATCAAATATGCTTATTTATCATAATAAAAGATACAATCATTTCCAATAAAGTTTCTTATATTATATTTTTTATTTATTATTTAATATACCCTGAAACCATGAAAGCAAATACAAACCCAAGGAAACATGGCGAATTCATGTAGAGTCATTAATTTGTGAGTTCGCCGGCCCGGCTAGTGAATATCCAAAAGGATTTCATGGACTTTTTTTAAAGCACAATTATAAAAATTAAAAATATATTACTTCATGTAGGCTTGTGATATGACAAATGTAAATTTCATACAAGTGTAAGAAACAGAAAATAGCATAATTACAGGATTAAATCAATAATGCAGAAATTTGTAGCAATAGAGTAAGCTAATTAGTCATTTTATTATAGGTAATAGTTGAAGCCTATAACAAGACACAATACTATGAATGTACTACATAACAAGGATTGCCTCCAACTAAGACGGGTACATTTATCATCTAATAAAAAAGCAGTTATTCAATTCAATGTCGTAAACGCGATACTTCTATGAATTTGACAGTTAGAATATATATCCTACACTAGTTAGTAAATAAGGTAAAATAAATTTGAAATTAAACCTATCTATTTATGAAATTAGATGCAAACAAAATAACCTTTAATTATTATCATTATTATTATTCTTATTATTATATATTTAAAAGTAAAAAGTTATGAACATTTAACCTAGCAAACATGATTAAAATAATATCTTTTTTTTTTGAAGTTTTGATAGGGAAGAAAAATTTTTTATTTCCAAATAAAATTTTGGGAGATTTACATGCATCACCTAAAACCTAATAAACCACAAAGATAGCATCTTTACATCCTACAAATTTCTAAATCTCATTTTTCCTATGTATTGTCATATGTCCATAATTTGCTAAATCTTGTGGGAAAATGGATTTGCCGGAATTATAGAAGCTGATGTGCGCAGCAGATTGGAGGAAGTGGGAGAAAAACGAGGGTTATCTTCCTCGATGGTTGCGGGTAGGAGTAGACGAAAGGAGTAAGAGGTAGATTTTGTGGTCTCTGCACATCACAGCCCCGCTATTGCCTTCCCAATAGCTCTAATGGCTCCTATGTCACAGGGGCTCGGTGATTAAGGCGACGGTTTAGGCGAAATCGGGAGAGAGGGAGGAGAGAGATCGCTTGCAGAGTTCGAACGATAGAGAAGGAAACAAGCAAAGGGTTTGTTATGGATCGGAGGCCTACGACCCCATTAAATACGAAATCAAAGCGGTGCGATCAAACAATTCGGGAAGGCAATAGAAGAGGGTGTAAAGAAGAAAAGAAAAGATTCACAAAATCCAAATCAAGAAGTTGGTAAAGCGGTGAGCAAAGAATAAAATGAGAAAATTTTGGTGCTTATATACTACCCTCCTTAAAAGAATTTGGTCCTCAAATTCATATCTTAATTCTGGAACAGTTGCAGATACTTCGCAATCATCTCTTCTTCAATCTTCCAAATTGCTTCTCGTTATGACTGGTTCTTCCAAAGCACTCTGACAAAAGGAATAGATCGACGAAGAAGTTGTCAAATTTCATGCTCCAATATGCGATATAGTACATCTTCATAACTTAGGTCTCCTTGAATCACCAATGACCAATACTGGATAATATGAGAATTATCATGCACAGCACCAAAGTAGAGAGACATGGAAAATAGTGTGTACTTCTGTAAGTCTCAAAAAGAGGGTTAAACAAGACCCTCAACCACCTCGAAAGGAATAATGAAACGAGGCTAAAGCTTCCCAGCCATGCGAAATCATGTAACTTCGTGCATAGGTGAAAACGTCAGAAAAATGTGATACTGGACACTGAATTCAATCACTATGTTTTGGGTCAAAGTATTTCTGACGATCCTAGGTCGATGTAGTCGATCTCGAATTTGACAAACCTTCTTCATAGCTTGATTCACTAGTTGAGGTCCAAATATTCATCTCTCACTGACCTCGAACCAACATAAGTGGGATCCACACTTTCTATCACAAAGTGCTTCGTATGGCGTCATGCTGATAGTAATATGTAAGCTATTGTTATAAGCAAACTCTACTAACAGAATATAGTGTTCTCGGCTACCTCTGAAGTCCAAAATGCAAGCTCTCAGCAAATCTTCTAAGGGTTCAATGGTACGCTCCAACGGTCCATCTGTCTAAGGACGAAAAGCAGTACTTTAGTTCAATCTCATGCTTAAAGCTTCTTGCATTTGTTTCCATAGCATGGAAGTAAATCTTCCATCTCAATCAGATACAATAACAGTTGGAATTCCATAAAGTTAAATGATATTGTCAATGTAGAACATGGCTAATTTATTCACTGAATAAGTTTGCTTGATTGGTAGAAAATGAACTGACTTAGACTATTACCCACAACCCAAATAACATCATATGCTTGCTTCGATCTCGGCAAGCCAATCACGAAGTCTATGTAACTTAGGAGCCCTTAGAGGAGCCGCCTCCTTCCGACTTATCCGAGACCCTAATCTAATATATTTCCTAAGGTACAAGGAGTCCTTAGAGGAGCCGCCTTTCTCTGCGGTACAAGGTTTTCTATCGGATTGTATGTACTCACGAACGATACGAGACCTTACGTCTCAAAAACATTCAACGAGTGTATATTAGGGAGCAATAAAAACGTAATGAAACATATGAGGGCATAAATTAATATTACTACAAATAAACACGCACAAACACACAAGCACAAATTTTATATATATATATATATATATATATATACAATGCATGACAAGGCAAGAGAAATGAAGATCTGTGTTCGGTTTAATACCTTAATTGTTGAGAAAATAAGAAATCATGTATGGAGGAACAAATAAAGAGAAAGTATAGACTGGGAAGAGGTGACAAATGATTATCATAAGGGAGGCAAGAGTAAAAGAAGGGCAGTCTCAAAACTATAGTTCGTCCATAAAAGAGATGTCAAAAAAGATTGCATATTTATTCCATAATAAAACAAGAGATAGCCAAAGCATGAATTTCTTGTAAATATACAGTCAAGGAAAAGATTAACGCCAGCAATTTTGCAGAGGATTTTTTTCCATGACTCAAACCTATGACATTCAAATTATAATGGAAGAATCTTAACAACTTCTCATAGCAGCCCTCGTCATTAATTCATAATCAACCAACCTAATAATAACTATAAATATTATTAGTCATAATATCATGGATGGCATGATCTAACAGAAAACAACACTATAACAAATAAAGAAGATGACAAAAAAAATATGGCACAAAATAATATTGACTAAATTGAAAAGCAAAATGACTCATCGCTAATGACAAAAGCAGGCGACCTGCATTGCATCAATTTCCCACAATGAAATCAAAAATAAATCTATTGATAGCACAATCCAACATAAAAACAATTAAATAACAATAAGGATGACAAGAAAAAAAAAAGATATAAAATAATATTGATTGAAGTGACAAGCACAATGAGCAAGAATAAGAACATAAAAAGATGAATCGTTATGCATCTATTTCCCACAATATAACAGATAAAAATATTGTTAAAAATATGCATACCTTCATTTGACATGAAAGTTTACAGTGCAATCAATCTATCCTAAAGCATGTTGAAATTTAAACTGAACAAAAAAGCAAGCATTAAACTCAATCAATGTTTAGTTTCTCGGGGTAATTTGTTTTTTTTATAGGAAACACCTTAGTCAAAAAACAAATTTATTACAAAAACCCCTAAAATAGAGCACAACTAGAACAGGAAGTTTCTTTCTTCTTGAGTATCATTCTGCATATACTACATTAGAGTGAAGGCAAAATCTTAACTTACTCAATGGCATGAAAATATAACATTTTCTTAAATATTTACAGCACATAAACAGATGATGAAAGAATCCCTACATAATCATATAAAGCAACATCATACTTTAACGGCATTGAAGATGAATTTTAACACATTGGGCCAAGTTTATGTGAAAGCAACAGACTTTGCTGTAATAAACCCATATATAGTAAAGCTTTCAACACACTGACCTTCATGCCCGCAGGTGAAAGAACATGCAAGTCAGGGATGGGCCTATATTCCATGCCAAAAACATGTTCCATGCCATCCGATAATGATAGTTTCAAACATCTTTTCAAGCCAGCTGGTGAATCATGATACCTCTCTCGAAGTGGACAACTTACATTGGTTACCTCATCAACCTTAAAAAAAATAAATCAAGTTTAGATAAAAAGAAATTATGAAATAACAATGCTTTAGTGTTAAATCTAGAAGGAAAAAGGAAAATGAGTGAATAAGAGTAAATCAGTCTGCTTGAAACGAAGCATACATGAAACAAAGAAATATTACAGCATAGTAAATGTTAAACAAAGTTCCATAGTCAAACAAGAAAGCCTATTTCAAAAAACTCAGTGATTAAAAAGTAATTTTCAAAATTAACACCTATTGAAAAGATCTTAAAAGAAAAGCATGTAATGCTTTAAGGACAACCAGCAGCAAAAGTTACAGGCCTGCAATAGTGTTGCTTGCAGCAAATGGTGGCATTTTATCAAACGGTTCAAGAACAATAGCACTAGCATTAACATTTAATATGTTAAGAAAATGTAAATGGAAAATTTAGCCCATACCTCCTCCATAAAGCAGTTATACTAGAGATAGCAAAAAAAAAAAATGGAGCATTGCCCTTTTCGCTACGCCACTGCCTGATACAAGGTAAAAATGGAGGAAAATTAAGATCCTAAGATTAATTAAAAACTCCTGTTGTTTTTAACACTATTTTGGACTTTGTCTTTTCCCATGTCCCATCGCTTTCCAACCAAAACTCTCCCTCTAAAAAGCAAACCTCTTGAGCAACTGCCATACCCACCATAAGATTTATATATACTAATTCTATTGATCATAGCGACTATAACTATTTCATGCATACTCACGCTCAAAATAGCCTACCCTATGTAGATATGGTTATTGAAATTTTGGAAGTGGTTATTGTTTGTATGGACAACTGAACTTCCAAATATGTTTATGTACATCAATGTGCGGGTTCAATGTCTAGATGCATTTTCTAGTGTGAGCCGGTTTATTGTAAATATGGATGTGAGAACTAAATATTTGGATCCAATTATTAGAAATTTGCCTTATTTATAATGAAGTTAATATGTTCATACTAGAGAAATGAATCAGTTTACTGAAAAATTAACTGATATTGCACGATATTGAAATCTAGTTATTGTAAACGATAGAAATAAATTTTGGAAATATATGGGGCTGTTTGGCAATGGATGGGATTTCAGTTAGTCGTATTTAGTAAATCCTATAAATCCGCATTTAGTAAATCTTGTAAATCTGGCTTTAATAAATCTTGGAAGGGTTAAATCTAAAAAACTATTTAGTAACAGATTTAGTAAATCCAATTAAATCCGATAAAATAGTTTGGCAACTTCAGTCGGAATTTAAAAAACTATTATGTTTGTTAGATCAAAAAATCATAATTAAACTTTGATTAAATTTATCACTATAATGAAAATTGATTATTTAATTTTAATTAAATCGGATTTAAATTTTATTTTAAATTATGCTAATTAATAATGAATTACTCACTAAACAAATTAATTTAATAAAAAAATTATTAAACTAAATATATATTAAACAATATTTTAACATTTACAAATTAATAATTAAGTAGTTATTAATTATAATGATTAAAAATTACTAATAATTTTATTAAACAAATGATAACTTAAATGTATTTTATTTTTATTAATTAACAATTAAATAATTATGTATAAATTTATTTAATTATAATTAATCTGATAAAATGTTAATTAATTAATAATAATTAATCAATTAAATTAATAAATTGACTTAACTAAAATTAAAACCACAAATTTATCTAACCCTTCCCACACTGGCTGAAACCATAGCCTACATCACTCCCCCTCTCTCGGTCCCTTCCCTCTCTATCATAAACCCCGCATGTGTGCCTCACTTCCGCCCCCTCTCCCGATTTTGCATAAACAATCACCCTTCGTGACCCAAAGCTTATGATATAGTGGCAGTTAGAGCTAGTTGGGAAGGAAATGACAGGATTGTGGCATACAGAGGCCACCGAAACTCTTATTTTTCTCCTCCTTCCCGAAACAATTGAGGAAGATGACTTTCTTCATGCCAATCTTTCTCTTCGCACTTCCCGGATTTACTAAATCCACAGAACAACAGGATCTAGTAAATCCGAAATTTATGGCAAAATATGTGAAATCCGAATTTATCAAATCCATGGCTTTATTTTATCAAAATTGTCCATCTGACAAGGTTTGGCCTAAATACAGGTTAAATTCTGGTCTAAATCCATTGCCCAACAGCCCCTAAAGCTCATAACTAAAAAATTAGAATCTGATTATTATCTTTGTTAACTTGGTTTTTAAAATATTGGATCTAATTGAAGTACAAATGAACATGATTGCCAAAAAACCAAAAACAGGTTGTGTGCATCTGGTTATTCAAATTATGGACTTGGGTATTTGCCTGTAGGAATCCAATCAGTTAAAATCTGTATATGATTGCAGATTGTGTGGATGTGGTTATTTATAGCTTAGATTCAGAAAATGATTGTATGTCTATGGATATAAAATATTTCGTCGTTGTTATCAGAAGTCTAGATATAGATAAGTAAAAAAACATCCTTTAATCTTTGGAGGCAATCCATTATGACAGAAATGGAAGCAATAGCAACCACCTATAGATAGTGAATATGGCGCCTAAGATGTAATGGGAGGAGGAGGAGGTAGATGTCAAAGAAAATGAAGGATGCAAGCAATGCAGAGATGCTCAGAGAAGGGTGATGAGCAGTGTGAGTGAGATTAAAGACAGAGAAGGAAATGTGACAGGACTGGGATTTGCAAGCGCCGGAGGTGGAGTGGGAGAAAAGGGGTGAAAAAAGAAGACACTTCTTCAACAAGAGCAGGCAGGGACAGAATTCGATTCAGATAAGGATGGTATATTACATTATTTGAAAATATCAAACAGATTATCTAAAAAAAAACGAAAAATGAAAATTTTCTTATAATAGTAAATACAATTAGGCTGATATATTTGCAGATTATCAGAATATTAAATATTCCAACTTTCACAGTCTCGTTTTTCATTTTTATTACACACTTCAATCACATGAAGGTTGTCATATTGAGAAAAAACTGAGGTAAGTCAGTCCGCAGCATACACTAGTCATGCACCTGCAACACGAAGGGTCCCTCTAGCTCCATTTTGTTCATGAAGTGCACATTCTCCGGTAGGATACCAGCGCCACAGCAGTTCATGTCCGCGCTGAGAAACTGTTCAAAGCACATCCTGGCCTTTCTATCAACATCAAACCCCTCAAATCCCGGAACCGCGTGTACAAAACCGGACAAACAGGAAGTCAGCCATTCCCGCCGCAGCCCTAGCCCCACCCGTCTGAGAAACTCATCAACCAGCCCAGTAGAAGGGTCACTGTCAGTAGCCTCGATGCGATCGGAGCTTGCTATAACATCCTGGACAGAAACTGGAGGGGAATAATGCTCGGAGAGAGCATCCTCTACGTCCATGAACTCGTCCTCTGATATCTCGAGAGGAGCGTTTTGGGGAGGCGGAGAGCTATGTCTAGGGTTAGTGATCAGCGTATCTACAGTTTGAGGCCTCGGAGCATCGTCATCCTCGTCGGAGGAGCTAGGCAGACGAAGATTCCTTCTCCTCATGCTTTCCTCCCCCGCTCGCCGGAATCTTTTTTATCCCAGGTTTTCCTGCACTCCGTCACGCTCCTATCGCCTAGGGTTTTAGACCAACGGATCGCGCTCTATTCCTTTGGCGCGAAACACGACTTGCAACTGGAAATAAATTGTGCAGCTAGCTGAGGTCTGAGTGTGTTTAGGGCAGTTTATGTTGTGACGTTTTGCAAAGTCTCTTAACCTGGTGAGATAAATTATATTTTGATAATTTATGTGTTGACGGTTTTTTTGGTTATCACTTCACTTTTTCAAAAAAATAAAAATTTGTAATGACTACTGCATTTAATTTATCAGTAAATTATTTTTAATCAGTTTATCAACAGATTATTCAATAAGTTGCATCTGTCCCAAACAGACCCTAAGTTTGAGTTGTTTAATTTAATTAGTTATAATTAGCCCTTGATATGATTTATTTAATATTAAATAGATTTTTTTATTCAAACAATCAATTAACATAATAATAGAAATAAAAAGCATTTATAATAGAAATCATACCTAATCATTTAATATGGGAAATTGAAATATAAAATTTAAAAATTATAATAGTTTGTACTATGACTTTTCAATTTTATTTAATTTTAAATGTATTTTAAATTAATATTTTTTAATAATTCAATTTACGAACTAATGAGTCGAGTCTGGGTTGACTCGAGTTTGGCTCGTTAGTTTACACGTCGGGTCCCGAAAGCAGGACATCTCGGCAGCACAGAACGTGATGAAAACAATTGAACATGTTTTATAATCTCATATGGCAAAAAGTAAACAAGTAATAATATAAATAAATAAGAAAAATTATTTTTTATTCTTTAAATAAAGAGTCAATGATACAAGTGAAAGAAAATGATATAATTCAAAGGAACTAAACTGAAAATACGAAAACAAGTAACTAGAGCAAGAAAGAAAGATAAAATGACTAAGAAGATACAGAAAATATCAATAATTAACCTAGAGCTCAAAAGTCAACTTTGTTGGATACAGGCACGTAAGTGGACGGGTGAAACTTATTATATAAAATATCTGCTGGTGATGTTGACCATTAAACTCAATTCATAATAGTTATTATTAAATTATAAACTGCAAGAAAAATAGGGCATGCAATATTACCGGTAAACATTGACGATTTGTTATGCTTATAATCATGAATAAGAGTGATTTGAACACATGCATATGTATGTAGATATTTACATGTTACAGTATGAGGTGTTTTTGCACAGATATAATTCGTCAATCCCTTAACACTACCTGATAATAATTTCAGTATATACTCATATATATATATATACATATAATTATATTTATATAGTCACTTTAATATGACACTCTGAAATAAAGAAAGGTAAACACCAATCAAATGAAAATCAATTGATTTATTTAAAAAACTCATCTGGTTAACTAATAATAACAATTAGGTTTAATACTGAAATAATAATTTTATAACATTAATTATATAGGGTATGCAGTATCACCAATAAACATTGATGATTTAATATGCTTATAATCATGAGTAAGAGTGATTTGAACAGAAGCATATTTATATAGAGATTTACATGTTGTAGTATGAGATGTTTTTGCACAGATATAATTCGACAATCATTTAACACTATCTAATAATATATAATTTCAGTATATACTCATATATACATATAATTATATTTATATAGTCAGTTTAAGATGACAACCTCAAAGATGGAAAGTAGGCACTAATCACATGAAAATCAATTGATTTCTCTGAAGAACTCGTCGGGTCGACTAGTCATAACAAAATGGTTTGATACTAAAATAAATTTATAACATCAATTATATAGCATTCATCACAATCCAAACATGAGAATATAACTATAAAATTTTCTCTGATATTTATAAACAATTATGAAAACTAGAGTAATAAGATTTGTCGCACCAGGCTATAAAAGAAATAATAGATATTGAGGTCATAAAATACGAACAATTAAATACATGACTAAGCAACAATAAACAAGGTTAATTACACATTAAAGACATTATGAGCAAAAATATAAACTACTGTAATTATATGAATGAAATTTAAAGAGGTATGGATGGCAAGCCTACAATTAGATAGAAATCAAATACAATTAACAGGGATAACATTTATAATTAGGAGTACGTTTATCTTCCAATAAACATCAGTTATCTCGAGCCGACAAACGCGATACTTCAAAGAATTTGTCAGTTCGACCATCGTTCCTACACCAATTAGAAAATAAGATTAATTATATAGTTAATTTTTACCATTACTCATGTATAACCTAATCAACATGCATTATTATTATTATTATTATTATTACATTTTTATTAATATATTATTATAAGTTTTTTTAAATAAATAAATTACGGTTGTTCACAATATTTAAATTTTGTTATCTTTTGATAAGGAAGAGAAAATTAAAGTTTTAAATAAGCTTTACTAGGGAAAAGTTATATATATAAATAACATAATGAGCAATAAAAATAAATTTTAATCTCGTTCTTTCTTAAATCTATTTTCTCCTTTTGTTTGCCTTAAATCCCGTATTATGAGATCCAATTGAAGAAAAGATCTACAGGATTCAGAGAGGCGGATGCGTGCGGGGAAAGCCAGGGAATAAAAAGAAAATAAGTAATACGAACAATTAAAAATTGTAGTTAAGGCCTAATAAGTTTGTGATCCTATACAAAATTCGAAGCTTGTGGTTTCTTCAAGCTCATAGTTTTCTTGTGTTTGAGGCCCTATCCATTTGAAGAGGTCATAAAATAGAGCTTGTCCTATCTTCAGGTTGTCACACCATTCCACAGTCTAAGTATCCAATGATGTGATCAAATCATTAATGATCATCTCAAAACTAACACACTCAATAGGCAACATTAGGATCATCTAGTGTTATATAAATCAAGTTGATAATCAATCAATGATTGGTTATAACTAAATAAGTTAAATAACTACATCAATCGGGTTTAACTAGAGCATGGCTAAAATTTATAAGGAAAAAGATCAACTAGGTAATTTTAAAATCACTAAAAAAATGTATAAATATTTGATCATTAATCGACTTAGGATTATTGAGAGAGAAATAAAGAGTTTGTCCACTAGCACACTTATGATCATCTAATGCTTAACAATGCTTGAAAGAAGTCACTAAGTGTCTTAGGATCACTTGAAATCATTCACAGAGCAATCCACTAGTAGTCAATAAGCTAAGGAGACTAGTATGTCACATAAAATCAATTAACTTAGGCTAATCATCGGACACTAGCCCACTTAAAATCATATGAAAGAGAAATCTAGGCTATATGAATGAGTTGTTGGACAAGTATTACATGAGATTGCTTATGGCAAACCACTAGTCATCTATAAGATTAACTAGAGCAATTTAAGTTCATTTATTATCAACCTCACCAAATGACCTAGGGTAAATGGTATGGATAAAAAATACCTTATGACTTGATTAAATATTTTTTATAATGAAGTAATTTAATATATCTTTTATTAAAATCACTAAGAGGTTAAGCTTTGAGCATTTAACTTATTTTATTATTACTAAAATCAAGTACTCGTAAGCACATTTAAGAAGTTTTTTTAGTTATTAAAACTTGCTTCTTTATTAGCCGCATCAAATGACATGGTATATACAAGGTGGCCTGCCAGTTGGCAATAAGGGACTCAATGAGGCTTAATGTTTTTCATACGATCAAACTATCAAGTGTATAGTACACTAAGTGAGGCTAGAAGTCACTCTCATCTATAGGGTGATTTTAAGTGCCTAGGGGCTCACTTCTACCTAATATACACATGGGTGTAAAAGTAAACAAAGTTATGTATCATATATGCTATTAATGCACCAATGGCAAACAATATAAAACATAATAAAATCATATCTTAATTAGGGCAAAAAAAAAGTAGAGCATAATGTTGTGGGATGTAATTGAAAGCTAGAAAGCATGTACACAAACACTAATGCATAATCAATACAACATAAATATCATCAAGCATGCTGACAAACAAAGCAATAACTTATGTCATAAAGTCATTATGCAATGTAATACACAAAATAAATCCATCCTTTTAGGTCAGCTCAACATCATAAATTGTCATATTTGTCGAGCTTGTTGCCAGATTAGCATGCTATATTTGTAGTATATACATCATCCATTAACTCAAACATACTAAAATTTTCATTTTTTGATATTCTATTATTGACTTTGCATCTTGGAGGTGGAGGTATGAACCCTTATTGATTGGCTCACAATCCTACAATTGTCTATTTGCCTTCAAGCTAGCAACTTAGCATTTTATGATTGCCATTATAAACAACCTCTGTTTACTCAACATACTAGTTTTTAGTCCTCAATTCATTATCATTAACTTAACCCTATAGACTCCATCATCAACTTTTCAATCTTTTCTCAACAATGATATAGTTAATCATTGACAATATTTTACGAGCAAAATATATTGGATTTGCTAATCTAACGTTTTTGGTTAACTCAACATCACAGAGTCTTCAATTCAAGCATTTTCTTATCATAGATTCATCCTTCAACTCTTTATTGTTAGCCCAATGTCCTAGAGTTCACGCTAGAATTTATGGCGTTTGTCTCTCTTTCGATTGACCTAGCTCCTCAAATTCATAGGTTATGCCACAATCTCCTATCATTACAAATTGATCGTCTTTGATTTTTTTTTGGAGTGCATCCATAATGATTAGGGGCATATTTTTTAATCTATATCTCACTCCATAATCTCTTATTGAAAAAGAGTAAAGTCTGTTCACTCATTTGGTACATTTTTCATGATATACATAGAGTTTAGCTTTCCATTTCTTGACTGAGTTAAATTTGACTTAAACCAAACTTCAGTTTCTTACTAATTTATTTGATGTTTTATTTACAAGGTTTTAATTATATTAAACTAATTTTTAACTCGTGATGAAAAATTTAATATTTACATATTGAGGTGCATTTTTTTTCTAGTTTACCCTTTAGCGAAGTTGAGAGTACTCATTCTTTGAGTTTGAATATCTCCATGTTGATATTAGGAGATATTCATACATTATACTTATTATAAAATAAAAAAAATAAAAAATATATATTTTAAATAAATTTCAGTAAAAATATATTGACCATACTTTTTTAATGCAGAGACAATTTTATGATGTTGCATAGAAATTAAAGTGATGTGCATATTAAGGCTTCATTTGGGGCAGCTTATTTTGTGTGGTGTGTTTTGAATATGCACCTAGACCTGTTTGGGTAAACTTTGTTTTGACATTTTTTTCAAAAACTTGTATTTTCAAACCTCTGAAATTAACATTTTCACACTGTTCATGACTGGTGCGAATGAAGATTTTTAGCTACGATTTGACTTAAAAAAAAAGAAATTATAATAGCTACCACAATTTTTTGAATAACAGATTATTTTTTAGCAACTTATCAATAGCTTATTAACAAGCAACATACTCTATTAAAAAAAAAAAAAAAAAAAAAAAAAAAAAAAAAAAAAAAAAAAAAAAAAAAAAAGTATCATACATAAAAATATTAATTTTGTTTTAGTTAAATCCTCTAAAAATGTCCAACATTCACAACAATTTGCAAAATTGCATGGAAAAGAATCTCTCCTAAACGATTTTTAATAAAATTTTAATTAAGAAAATAAAAATTACACTAAAGGAAATCTGCAGCGTTTGATTTAAATCCAATGGTCCATAACTTTAACTACAGATCTACTATCCCCTTCTTCCCTTCTCCTCTGTCAGCCTCAGCTTCCTCCGACCGATCTTTCATCCACCTCGAACCTCTCTTCGGAGCTTCTCGTCTTCATCCTCTTCTCAACGCAGCCCTCCAACGCCTCCATCTACCCCTGAATCCACCTTTTCTTTCTTCACCGCCCCCTTTCTATCGTTTCTTTATAGCTATTTCTGCTGCACCGCCAAATCTTTTGTGATATCGAGCTAACTCGACGATTTCCTGCTATTTATCGAATCCTTCGAGTTTAATTGATGTCTTTCAGGGCTCAAGAGCTGTACAAGAAGTTGGCGCGTAAGGTGGGTAAGGACGTGCCGGCGGAGGTGATGGAGACGGTGAAAAAGTGCCTCCCTAACAGCAAGATTGTGATGGGAAGAGCGAAGCGCGGTATCTTTGCCGGGCGCCATATCCAGTTTGGCAATAGGATCAGCGAGGATGGTGGTAACAAGTAATTTTTCTAAGCTTTTTAACGATTTTCTCTCTAGCGTTTGTCTTCTTCATTCCTTCGACTTCTAGGCTGCTAAGCGTTGTACTGACTTCTTTAGGGTGCTTTTTATGTTAATGGTAGCTCAGAATCGATCTTTGCTTTTGCTCGCCAAGCTTCTTTTTTTTTTTTGTATTTATTTATGAAAGATGTAGGTTTAGAAAACTGGGTTTTTGTTTCTGAGATGTCAACTGCTAGTCTTTAAGTTTTGTGAATTCATGGATGTTGGCTTCAGTAATAATTTTTAATTCACATTCACGTTTCAAAATAGATTTTTTGGGTTGCTAGCATGTTACATTTGTCTTAAGTAATATTTCAACCCAAATTTTCTGAAATTTGTATGTATCCTAAGCAATTGACATCTATATAGTCAATGCAACGCTATAAATCAGCTCATGGTAATTGTTAGATTGATTTACCCTGAAAAATGATTTTAAATGCATAACACTACACCGGAACATCTGAAGATACACTCAATCAAATATGAATTTTGATGCAGTTTGTTAATTAAGAACTTTCGGCATCAAATTCAGGACTATTCAACATTTGATTTCAACATATTTATAGTCAAACTAAATATCTTGACAAGCCAAACCCAATGACGTAAAAAGTTGATATGATCCGAATTTAAATAAACCGAAATGAAATATTTGATTTTTTATTAGAACCATATAGATATTAATTAAATGATCAAATGATTTTACAAATCTTATATTTTCATAGCTGATTTGAGTGTCTTAATGAGAAAAAAATAATGAGGTGAACATCACTCATTTTAGAGGTCATTAAGCCAATTAAATATTGAAAGAATGATGGATAATCAAAGAATTAACACAAGTCATATGATATAGTGTTTTGAGATTGTGACAAAAGAAGATTAAATTCATATTCTTTAAAAACTATAAATAGAATCTTATTCTTCATATGAAAGAGATCGAGGTTTGAAATTTGAGAGATAGAGCTTAAAGATTTGAAAAATTTTGCAGCTCTATCTGATGACCAACACAACCAACATTTATTCATTATTATTCATTCATCATTGTCTTACCATTGTCTTCTAATCATTATCATCCGACTGTCATTCTTATCATTTGTTCACTATCACTATTATCAGTATCATCTAACTATCATCTCACCCCTCACAGCTTCCACCAGAGAATGAGCTAGTATTGACTGCATTACTTTGTAGTCTTATCTTCTAGAATTAAAAGGAAAATTGAACTATTATAATCTCAATCAATATAGATTAATTTATTTAAGTCAAATTTCATGTCTCTTAGCTATTTTCATTTATCTATACTTGTGTGTGAGAGCTTCATGTAAAATCAGGACATGAAATTCTCATTGTACTATCATGATTTTTTTTAGTGCACAATAACATTGAATAAGTAGTCCCACTAATATTTTATTTAAGGATTTATGTTTCTTTTTGGTTTGAACTGATGGAATTTTTTTTTTTTATGAAATTTAACTTGAAAATCAAGTTTTTGTTGACTTTTAAACAGATTTTTCATTTTGTCCAATGAAGGCACTTATAAGTGCTAGAGTTTGAATGTGGGAGCAAAGCAAAGCTTTATGAATTTACTTTTTTTTTCCCCATTGGGAGAAAGATTTTGGAATTATGTTTTACCTCGTGGAATCTCACATTTGGTACTTAAACATCCTTTCATAAAGATTATTTCTTTTAGAATTTGGCCATGCTTTGACCAAACCCAAAGTAAATATCATTCAATAGCACCGTTCTTATTGTTATTTAAGCGCGAAGGTTCAGGCAATCGAAACTTAATCAAAATTGGAAATTTAGGTTCATACATTTGCTAGGAAACAAAAAATTTATACAGAAAAAAATCCCTATAGTTTTTGAAATCACAGTTTTTTCCAGGCTCACTTATGAATATGAAAACGGGTCTTGAATTCATTAGATTTTGCTTTGATTTTGAAATACTTAAATCATATAATTGCCAGAAGGGATAATCTCAGAATCTTCCATTATTCAACTCTCCATTCATTCCTTAGTGATGCATTGTTTTTAACTATAATTTTGAGTTAGTCTTGTTGTTTGACCGCTGTTCATATTAGCTTTAATCTACAATATATTAATCCATACACAACAATTCAATGTCTCTATATAGTTGTGCCACCCTTTGCTATCCGTTGTGCATGCCAAAATCATCTTTGTCTGTTTATGACAATCTTATTTTCAATGGGTGTTATTTCACCATCTGATTGATTAATCATCAATTGTCAATCTTTCTTTCTTTGTTTTATCATACATCCTTGCAATTTCATAATGTTTTTGTTTCTTTTCTTTTTCCTCCATTCTATCTATCTTTATTTGGTGAATCTAGCATAACTAGAATAAACAACCTCCCATTGGATAATTGAGAAAAGGGGAATATATAATTAAAATAGTTCTCTTCTTTATCCAAATTCTCGAACCAGCGTTACGATGAAAGTTGCTATAGAATAATTTCAACCTAGAAGATGCAACAAGCACTCAGAATCCACTTTTGTTTTACTAAAACTTCTTTATCAATTTGGAGATCCTGAACAAATTTTCTATTATCAAGAATTTGGTATTTCCTTTGGTTGCATCTTGCATTTCAGGATATGATGTTATTGTGACACAGAAAAGGAGAAAGAACATTAGTTTTGTTGGCCAACCTTTCTTGTTTTAGAAATGAAGCCGGCGGTTCGGGAAGCTTGTTTCTAATGCTTATCAATGTTGATTCTAACATAAGGATTCACACACCCAATTATTAAGTATTTACATATCTAAGAATTGAACTTTACTTTTTACATTTATACAACCAAAATCTTTCGTATCGCAAAAATACCACCATTTTAACTTTAAAACGTGAAATACACTATTTTATCCATAGTTAAAGGTGGCGGCATGCATGCACAACTTGAAGTTTTGGTGTTCAAATGTGTAAATACATAGGAATTAAGTAACGTGCATGTAAATGTTCCAGTCTGATATCATACTATCCAATTCTGAAGGTTTAGAAGAACATGGAAGCCAAATGTGCAGGAGAAGCGCCTCTTTAGCTACATCCACGACCGCCACATCCGCATAAAGGTGACAACCCACGCACTCCGATGCATCGACAAGGCCGGAGGCATCGACGAGTACCTGCTCAAGACACCCTACCACAAAATGGATACTGAGCTGGGCATATTATGGAAGGCTAAGGTTGAGAAAATGTATGAGGAGTTCAGCAATATGGAGGTGGGATTCTTCTCTCCGGAAGAGGAAGCTAAGATTGCCAAGGGCTTTGAGGAGTACAATGTTGCTAAGAAGAATGCGAGGAGGGAAAGTAGAAGAGCTCTGGCGAGCCAGAAACGGATTGAAGAAGGGAAAGAAACGGCTGGTGATGTCAAGGATGGGGAGGATGGAGCTGCTGCACCTGTATCATGAAGATGGAAGTGGTGGTTTTTGTAAATTTTGTTTTGTTGGAATTAGATTATTGAGAGTTTTCTAGCAATAATTCTGTGTTTTTTTTTTCCTTTTTTTGTCATGAACAATTTAATGCTGCAATCCAGATTTATGCCAATAAATCACTAATATGAATTTATGATGGCACGAGCGACTTCAGGTCGGATTTAGTAAATCTGGATTTACGTTGCATGATTTCTCTAATTTGGGGCTATCAAGTCATTTGTTAGAAGACAATATTTTGACTAATGATGGTTTTATTTTTCACTTATGCATGAAAAATAGAGATTATTATATTTAATTGGCTTTAAAAATAATTTTTCACCTATTATTTTCTTACTTTATTAATTAAACAATTGATCAAATATAGTTTAATGCTTTTTAAATTCATTTTCTTAACTTTAACAACTTGAATTTAACTCGATTAAGCACTTGGAACTTGAATGAATCAAATTTAAGCAGAAACTGACTGACTTGTTAATATTCATGAATAAACTCGCTTGTTGCTCAATAACTAGTTTGTTAAATGTATTGTATTTATATAATATATTATTTAAATACATTTGATTAATTAGAAATTATTCAATAATATTTAATAGCAACATTGTTATTTACTATCAACATAAACATAAATTCACAGAAATTTTTTTCAATCAATTAATTTATTAGTATTTATTTATATCATATGTTACTTATTTACATGATATATAGATTCTAATTTGAAATTCATTCAATTACATGTTTATTTACATATAGATTCATAATCTCATTTGTTAATAATTTTATATAAAAGATTGAATACTCATTTAAATTTTTAGTTTATTTACTAGTTTTATATGAAAAATAATATAATATAAAATGTTTAATTTAATAGGAAAAGTTAAATACTCATTTGAACTAAATAAAATGTTTAATTTAATAGGAAAAGTTAAATACTCAATTGAACTTTTAACTTTTTAATTAATATAAAAAGTAAAGTACAAATTAATATGAACATCAAGCATGAACATCTTTTTGAAGCTCACCTTTTGCTCAAACTGAGCAATAAGAACATGATTACACCAAATCAAATTCGAATCATGACATACTCGAATCAACTAGGCTCAATTACAACTAGGACTGTCAAAAAACTCTTTGTTCGTGAACATTTCGTGTTCGGTTCGTCGATGAGTTCGTGTTCAATTCGTTCGATAAGTCCACGAGACGAACATGAACAAATTTTTTCGTTTGGTTAATTAAACGAACAAAACACGAACAATGATGCGTTCGTTCATATTCGAATCATCATTGTTTGAAATATAAAATAATTTAAAATAATCATATATAAAAAAATTATGATATTTGAAACAATTAAATTTTATAAATTATAATATATAATAAATTAAAAATAATATCATCCTAATATATTATGTTAGTAATATACTAATATAGATATTATATTTTTATATAATATAATTTATATAATGAACTCGTGTTCGGCTGGTGTTCGGCTCGTTCGTTAAGAAACAAACACGAACAGTGACTTCACGAACAATTTCAAGCACGAGCTTATTTCAAACAAACTAAATTTCAAAGCAACCGAACACGAACACAAGCTTTGTTCGTTCATGTTCGATTCGTTTACACCCCTAATTACAACCTTCAATGCAACACCTAAAATTTAATGTTTAATTTATACCACCCAAATATTTCATATCACATAAAAAATATTAATATTTTAACTTTTAAAAAGTGAATTAAACATATAAATGCATAAATAATATATCATATAAAAATTGAAGTCATGCATGTAAATCTTCCTAAAATTAATTATATTAAAATTGGTGTGATTTCCAGCCAAAAAAATGTGTATTAACTCGATCATTTTTAAACTTGTTATTCGCCTATATAATTTGGATGAGATTAAATATACATATAAAGAAAAAAAGTTTTATATTTTCATTTCTCTCACTTAAACTTCAGCATATATATATATATATAATCTTTCGTA